GTACCGTTTATGGAAATGGTGCTATAGCTGCGAGTACTGTTCGTGGGCGGTTCACTAGGATCAGAAGTGAGAATTTTGGACTGGAAGCCGGAGAATTTTCCGGCAGACGTGCAGTCACTGATGACCAAATCGAATAAAATAATCCAGGACACACGGCATGGTATATTGCAGAGATAAAGTTCATGTCTCATATGATCGTTGTAAGGCATTTGAAAACACTTGGACGCGGAAATTGCTGCGACGTTTCGGTCACTCACGATTTAAGGGGACACATTTCTAACAGCGATTACCTACTCAAACGCAAAAAAAAACCCGATCCAATTTCTAAAAAAATAATCGCAGGTGATGAAAAACGGATTGTTTATAACAATGCTAAGCGAAAAAAGCCGTTCCACATCTAAAGAATTTGTGTATCGAGTTTAACTGGAAGGTCATTATGTATTATGAGCTCCTTCCGCAAAATCAAACGTTGAATTCAGATATGTGTTATCCGAAATTGGACCGAATGATTGCAGCAATTGATGACAAGTGCCCGAATTTGGCCAATCGGAAGGGTGTTGTCTTATACCAGGACAACACCTCATATATTTTTCAGACGCAGCAGAAATTGATACAGTTTGCCATACTCACCTGATCTTGCACCTTAGGATTACCTCTTATTCCGATCCCTAAAACATTCTCTTAGTGAGAATTCACTGGAAGGCTGTAAAAGCACTCTGTATTTGGCATCTTTTTATGATGAATTGGTCTGAGCGGATAGAACCCTAATTCTGCCTGGAAGTTAGAAAATGGTAGTAGAACAACATTGCACATATGTAGTTGAATAAATCTATATACAAATATCCTAATATTGTCATTGAAATTCACTTTAAAAACGCCACCCAACAGCATATAAGAGGTGTGAAAATTTAAATCTCAAAATGACCGCAGCATGTCTCTGGAGTCATGCAAGCATTTATAACGGAGCATGTACACACATGTTGCAAATTCCGCTTTCCTGAGCCGCAAAGCAGATTAGTCATTTTTTTTTCCGAACAGTAGAGAAAATTATACGTGTTCATATTATGCTGATGGTGGAAAAATGGGCGAAAGGATTTAGGAACTGCATAAAAACATTAAGTTTTGTGTGAAAATTGTAAAAGCGATAATGAAACTATTAACGATGGCTTATAGTGAAGATGCTATGAAGAAATTGAATGTTTTTGCGCGACACTTGTTCAAGAAAGGATGAAAAATATTCACGGTGACATAAGAATTGTGTAATCAAAAACGCAGAGAACAGGGTTCGAACCTTGGTGCGTTCGGATCAAAGATTAAATGTTCGAATTAAAAAAAAAGTACTGAATAAGAATAAGAAAACAATGCGATAGATTCTAACAAAGATTTGAGATTGAGAAAAAAATGGCGCGTTAGGGAGTACGCGAGTTATTCGGTAGAACAATGGACCCTATACCTTATCCATGAACATTTAGCTCCCTGTGATTTTTGGCAATTTTCAGAATTGAAAAATACTCCGAATGGGGAAAGATTTGTTGACATCCTTGGGATGCAGCATCGCGTGACTACAATAAAGGTATTCCGATAAACGAGTTCTAAAAATGTTTCCAACAATGATACCATTGACTACGAAGGGGTGATTGGAAGGTATAGCATCCAATAGCGACATGGTAAGAAAACTTTGCTTTCGCAGGGTCATTCCGACAATTAAACATCGTATATTTATATATATTTAGTATGTCACGATTTTCACAAGAGAAAGAGTCCGTCACATAGAAATAGGTGAAGTCCCTGTATCGAAAAAAAAAAATGACATTGCAAAAATGGCACATATTTATATAAGAAATATTGTGTGTGAGAAAATAAAACTCTCAAATTGGGATAGGCTTGGTCGAGAAACAAACATTTAAAAATGTTTATACATTCATAAACTCAAAACACACACTACATATATCGTTCCTATTTCTATGAACATTATTTTTAATGAGTACACATGGCGTCCGTAGCATCATTGGTATGGTACGCTTCGGTTAAAGATGAGATGATGAAGTTTCCCATACGGCAAATACATGTTTCATTCGTGTAGGTAGACAAGAATGTGAAGTCACACACACACACATATATATATATATATATATATATATATATATATATATATATATATATATATATGTGTGTGTGTGTGTGTGTGTGTAAAAATATATAGAAAATAGGAAAGAACTCGTTAGGTAAATAATCCAAAGTTCTTTAGTATTTTTTGTTATTATTTTTAAAAAGCAGTGCTCGATACAAAAGTAGAGCCTAAATATAATTACTTATTTAAAAATATGATTCCATCGCTACATAAGAGTTCTCATGTTTCAAAACAAGAGCCGAAAGCTTCAATTTCAAAACTTTAATTCAATTTAATTCAAATAATTATATTGAAGTTTTCGGCTCTTGTTTTGAAACATGAGAACTCTTACGTAGCGATGGAATCATATTTCTAAATAAATAATTCTAATTATATATATATATATATATATATATGTAGGTATATATAAATGCGATAACGATATATGATTTTTTTTAATATATATCAAGAACAGTTTTGTAGAAAAGATGTATAAAAAAAAGTGGAAAAAAAGTTTTCGTGTAACCTGGTTCGTGCTTCAGGGCTCCATTGGATTGGGTTTGTTTGCGTTGTTTACAATGTTCCACCATTCTTGGCAGATCTTCTATTATCACGATGTGGGATATTTAATAACAAAGATGATAGAAAGAAGGAGAAAAAGAAAATGAAAAAGAATGAAATTGGCTAAATAATATACACAAAACATCTTATTCAAAAATAAAAACCCAAAAGACATTATTAAAAAAACAAAAACACTCCAACCCCCGTTCAGACACATGATGCGTAGCCGCATCAAAGTAAAGAAAATCAGCCCGGTGAAGTCTTAAGGAACGAAACTCGTCACACGAAAACATTTTCCATTTTCATATATATATATATATATATATATATATATATATATATATATATATATATATATATATATTATATTCCTCTGTGTTGCTACTATAACGATTATTTGAGTTCTCTCCGGATTAAATCATCTGAATATATATAGTGATTTTCCAAGCGTAGTTTAGATGTGGCACAAGGCCGAAAGTAGGGGGAATCTGAATATATATATATATATATATATATATATATATATATATATATATATATATATATATATATATATATATATATATATATATATATATATATATCTATATATATATATATATATATATATATATATATATAGGCACATTTATATATATATATATATATATTTCTCTATATTATATATTCATATATATATATATATATATATATATATATATATATATATATATATATATATATATATAAAATTAGGCGAATCAAATAATTAGATATTAGCAATCGCATGCGCGCGTGCTAGCGTGCAGACACAGGCAAGCAAATAAATAATCATTAGATTTAGCCATGAGGTGCAAACATGCTCGGTTTGGTATGACAGAGCAAAGAAATATATGTTTATAAATATACATATACCAATCATTTTCAATATCTTTATTTTCGTAAATTTTATTATAACACATTTATTATAATTTTTATTTTTTAATGAGAAATGTTTCGCAATTAAAGAGGGGGTGTGCGAATGTCGAGGGCAAACAGTTTGAACATTTGTGGGATTGATATATTTATTATTATTGATATGTTTATATTTGTATCATTAATACAATATGTTTTCTTTTCCTTGCTGTATATCTACTTTTGTATTCCGATTATGCGTGTGACATATTGATTAAGACATAAAACACAACCAAAATAAAACCATCAACACACGATAAATATTTGAAGAGAGTACCAAAATTCTATACAACGCAAGGAAAGTCTCCAAATTCTAGAGGCTCTTAACATACAAAAGAAACAATTCAGAAACAAAATATCACTCACCACTGGCGACGCATCCTTAAAATGTCTATAAAACATTTAATATTTTATTGAAAATCATTTCGCCCCAAGCAAAGTAATAAAGTTAATAAGCCGTAAGAGGTTACTGAGAAAATGAGAGAAAGAAGAGAGGACAATAAAAGAACAGGAATGAAGAAAACAGCATTGCATTTAAATTTTGGTAGATCAAAGTTGGCTTGCAAGCAAGAATTAAATTTTTGAAGATCAAAGTTGACTGGGGAGTAAGAATTAAATTTTTGAAGATCAAAGTTGACTAGGAATCAAGAATTAAATTTTCGATGATCAAAGTTGATTTGGAAGCAAGAATTGAATTTGCGAAGATCAAAGTTGGCTGGGAAGCAAGAATTGAATTTTTGAAGATCAAAGTTGGCTTGCAAGCAAGAATGAAATTTTTTAAGATCAAAGTTGACTAGGAATGAAGAATTAAATTTTCGATGATCAAAGTTGACTGGGAATCAAGAACTGAATTTGTGAAGATCAAAGTTGGCTGGGAAACATGAGGCCGGAAGAGAGCTCTACAAGAGTGAAATACGCCATAAACTGTCCTTTAAGAATAAACATCCAAGATTTTAAATAGTCCTTAAGAAGCGAATAATTATCGATTCTTGAAAAAGTTTAGACATTTCGAAGTTACTATTGCTGAATCCCCATCAGGATTTGAGGCCTTTGTAATCATCGTATCTGCCTAATAGGTACAGACATTAGTTCAATTCGCACTAATACAGTAGATCAATTCTTGTGGTTGAGATACTTACGTATTCTTCAGATTGATTGATTTTTTTTACAGCTTAGCATTTAAAACCAAAAAATATTTTTAGATTGCAGGATTTTTTCAGAGATAAATATTTCTACAGACACAAGTTCTACTGATTAACCCACAGATGAGGTGAATGCATATACCTTTCCCAAGGGTACCTGCGCGCAAATTAATATCAGGAACTCGACTGGAATTGGAACTCAGCTCTCCGATGTCCAATACCGAACCGTTATCTATTACACCACCATCCAAACTAACAGCACCTGGTATTTCCAAGCTGTCACCCATCTAGATACTGATCAGGCTCGATGTTGCTTAACTTGGGTGATCACCCGAGAACTGGTGTTTCATTGTGAAATAGCTGTAAGCCCTGTATTCTGCAGAGGTCGCTGTTTGAGGACAAGTAAAAGTCAGTGTTTCGATTTTTTTTTTAGGCAGGCATTCAAAGTCATCTCGGAATATTGGCGAAACATAATCTTCCAATGCTATTTCCGCTATCTACTCTTTTGACACAAGTATAGTTAAATGCTGTTACTTAGTGAGTTAATAAAAAAATAAATAATCAATTAAAACTTTAACACCGTCATATAATCTTTGCTCTCACACAAGTACCTATCCTCCCAAATACACATAAAGGGGTAAAAACAAACACACAGAAAAATCGACAAACAAAAACACACAAATAGAGGAGAAAGCGGTTAGCAAAACTTTTCATATAATATGTGAAATTCTAAATTGGCAACTCATCTCCTACCAAGTCGGATCACCGGAGCTTGACGTGGGTGTTGAAGTCGAAAGCGACGCTCTCGGGTCAACGTGCTGGTAATATGACCGCAAAACCAGCTTCGTATTTCACCTAGTAAGATCAGTCGGGTAATGTATACACGTCTAGGTAATATATACACTATCATCTCTCTTACCCGCACTCTCATTTCCCGTTTCTCCATAGCCCCCTTTATTTTACCCTTGACGTCTTCTCATTCATTAGAGCATCATAGGTTATCTGGGGACACCGGCCTCGCTGACAGACAGGTGGACTCAGCGTAGCCTGTTCCGGTCTCGACCGCGTCTGTGACGCAAGTTACATAAACAAGAGGGAAGCTTATCGCTCCGCCATTTTGCTTTTCCTGGTCGACCTGATGAGTCGAGAAAATATTTTCTCTGGAAATAGTCAGTCATAGAGTCTAGATTTTGAGGTAGATAAACATTATCCAGAAGGTGAGTCGGGTATAATGACAAAGTGGTTAAATTGAGAATTTTAATGCTTAAAAAAATAAAAAATAAAAAACAGCCTGGCTGTTGTAGTTCAAATGTCGGCCAGTCGGTGAGAAACGAGCTCATTTCAGTAAAGTTTTGTGAGATGAACTGGTTAAATGACACTTTGTAACGCCGTAAAAAGGTTCTGTAATTTTTAGAGCTGTTTTTTTTTTGTTGTTGTTAATATTTGAACCCTTAAAATAGGGTGTCATTTGCAGTGGTCTGTTGCAGTAGACTTTGAAAAACCTTTAAGGTGAATTGCATTATGGAATGGAATTAAAATCTGTAAATCTTCGTACGTGAGCGATCATGGCTCTTCACAACATCTTTTTAATTTGTTGTTTTTGATAATTTGGGACCATTTACCATCCCTCTTTGTCCTTGTTTTACACACCATTCAGTCGTTAAGTTGGTTAATTTCTCTTTTTCCCTTTTTTTTACAATAAGGGTCATCCTTTACAAGGCCCGGAGCCACTCAAGGTAGAGGATTACGTTAAGAGGCAATTTGTGTGTATAGGCGTGGAAGATAACAGTTAACCCAAGACTTGAACAGGTTAAGATTATAGTCATCGGGGAAACATTCTCTTGGCAGTCGGTTCCCCAGAGCAGTGGTTCGCACGAAGAATCTGTTCGAGTGGAACTTCTCACCGATGGAATACGAAAGGAATGTGGGTGGTTTGCTACTAAGTAAGTAGAATGGCGTGAAGGTTTGCATTGCCGGGACCAGGGAATCTAGTTCGTCCGAGCACTTTCCGTGGAAGTAACTTAAAACTTTCTTGTTGCCCATAAGCTCTGTCCAAGTGATTCTCAGCCCGTCCTGGGTATGACGATAAACTACATCCGGCAGCAACGCCTCTGATCGGGAGGTTTCTCCACCAAGAAAATGAAATTTCGTGATTAATTGACCCATAAGGAAACCACGTTTCAGCAACTTCCAGTCTCTTCATCATCTGTGAGGAGAATTTCCAGTTTTCTCTGCCACGTCAGAGTGTAAATATTGCATCGTAAAAAATAGCGTATAAAAGAATTTAATAGTGCGTGTTTTTGATAAGTGGACATTTGCATAAGTTAAGAATGTATAAGTTAATCCAGTATGATCCAGCTACTAGATATTGTAGTCGACCAGGTATTCGAGAACAACATAGGCACGTCGAAGTGGTGAAATGTTTAGCAAGCTTGTCTCGCTAATGCCCAAAGAAGAATCAGCAATATTATTGGTCCGGATCTGGCAGTTCGGCTTCAGGCACTTTCCCACCGCCGTATAGTTGCCTCTATCTGTTTTTTCTATACATAATTTCATGGTAATGGTTCGGATGAGCTCATTGCTATGGTACCTAGAGATTTTGAATTTAAGTCCAGTACTAGACTGGTAACGAGGTCTCATCAATTTACAGTTGATTTGGCTAGATGTAACCGTAAATTCTATGCTAACAGTTTCTTTTCTCGCACTTCTCGCTTGTGAAAATTCCTTCCGGCTCTATGCTTTCCAGCCAACTTTAATCTGCAAAAATTTAAATGCAATGTCAATCATTATCTGCTGTCCTCCTGATTACTCTTTTATCTTTCCGCTCATAATTAATGTTTCTGCTTTTTAATTTTTCCGCATCCTGTAACCTCGCCCCCCTTGTGCCTTAGTGGCTTTACGGCCTTAAACAAAGAAAAGATAAAGTATGTCTAAATGGTGAGTCAACACCTAGTAGTTGATTCATAACTGCGATCTTGTATCACATCTGAACTCTATTTAGGAAGTGACTATTTCAGAACATCATGGCTGAGGGAACTGAGCCGGGATTGCTAATTTGGATTATATTTTTTAAATCCAAGGGTTTCCTAGATTTTGTTCTTCGCTACTTGTGATGATCTGGGCTACCACCAAAATAAGCTGGTCGAACTTCGCTACTAAACAAGAAGAAAGTGAATTGGAAATTTGGTAGCTTTCAAATATAGACCAATTCGCGATTTGTAGCTTGAACCGGAACTGGAAACTATGATTTTAAATCATCAACTAAATATGGATTCGGGAATCATTTTTTGTTACATATAAGCGGACAATCTACTTTTTTTCTCTAGCAACATTCCTTAGACGAAGAATGGTGAAAAGTTTCTTGGCGTGACCCGCTTTTCAAAATTTTACCAAATGACAATTAGATTTTTTGGAATCACTTCACGCTTAGATCAGCACGCCTTTGTTTTTTTTTTATACTTTAGAAAACAGACTTGAAAGAAGAATTGTCAGACTGAAGTCCTTTTTAAAATTGTGCTACAAATTCTTTTAATTTAAAATGTTATACTTTTGGGGTCATTTTTAAAATATGCTGCTAATAAGAAGAAAGTCTTTAGAATGTAGTAGCATTGGGTTTTCAAATGAAACTTTATTCTCTACTTGCTAGCAACCCTTAGCCGTTCGGGGTTGTCAGCCATTAATCTTTTTTTGCTGACTGGATTAATATATCGCAATTACAGTTGACGCATTTATTACAACTAATCACTCAAGCAACGTGACTAAATTTTTTTATCAGCTCTATCCTTATTCGTAATATTATGTGCGACATAATCACTCCTCCGAAAGAACAGTGTATAATAATCTCCAAACCTTCAAGTAGAGGATATTTGCTTGGTTTATGAGATTACCCAGCTGTTGATACCATAATTCCTATCTTCCTTCATTCTTTCGTTCCTCTCATTCCTCATTCCAACATACCGACATTCTAAAATTACCGGCGACGACTGAAACTTTTAGGTCAACTATTGATCCACGGTTTGTAAACAAAAATCAGCAGTTGATGAAGTAGTCGCATGTTTCTCACTGGCGTTAGTCATGTATTCAGTGACGATCGAATCTAGTTTTTCAGTGAATGATCTGTGATATTAAATGAGCTCTGTGTTCTCTCTTAGCTAATGACGATAGATTCTTAGAAATTAAGTTTAAATTTATTCGCTAGGAGCCAGAGCGGTGTATCCATTTTGAATCAAACTAACAGCACGGTCGAATTTGCGTCTGGGAGATGAGCTATGAAATCACTGTGCTTCAGCAAAGCATACAAAAATTATTAAATATGTATAAAAACTAAGAACAATAAAATTTGCGCCCGCCGACTCACCTTTATGAGGTAGAATTTAGAAGGAACCGAAAACCTAGTCCTCAACAGGAAACAAGGGATAAACCTCTACTCTTGTTCAAAAGACTTGGGAGCAATGTGAATCAGACGATAGGCGAACCTATCTACTCCTATGAAAAGAAGATTTAGTTCAATCTTCATCGGGTACACTATGTGTGGGCTTGTGTCAAAATTAATCTGAGTTTTGTAAGTAATATTGCATTACTTTTGACGTCGTTACAAGATTTAGCGCACATTTTGTATTTTCTTACAAATTCTCGACGGGGGAAACTACTTTGGTTAAATGTCATAGAATCTGTCAAATATTTGAGAAGATTTCGATTTCTTTTTTTGAAGCCATTGGGAAGACTGCCTTCACCGTTTATCTTGTTCTTTCTTTTTCACAGCTGTAAAAACTTCCACTTGACAATTGCAACCTGCCCAACAGAACATGAATCTGCAATTAACTGTTTTCCCATGTCTAAGTCTCTCAGTAGATTTTGTTGCTCGCTTCGTGTATCAGGCAAAACCAGTAAGCTATATTATGCTTTTTTTTTCTTTTCCTCTTACGAGACCAATTTTTTTTACATTTTTTTGGAAGCTGGTAAAATAAGTGAATACAAATAATATTGTTACGTGTCGACTATTACTCATTGACGGGAATATCGCTTTTACCGGAAATTCTTTGAGTGTGACTCCTAAAATTGAACAACTAAATATCTGAACAATATACTTTCAGTCACACGCCTGATTAAATGCTGCTTCCCTATAGAGTAAATGACACGCGTTACTTCGAATGTAGACTGATTTTTTCAGTATGATTTCGTTAAAAAAAGACAAAAAGACACACACACACATACATACATACATATGAAGAAAAATATACAGAAAAACAAACAAAAATCTTAATGTGCAATTATGCTGTATTAATATTAATATAAAGTCAACGTTGGACGTTTCGGTCTGTTTTAGACCATCATCAGGACATTTTCATTAAACATAATTAA